TCTCTCCTCATTAATTACTATCTCCCATCACCTCTCTCCTCATTAATCACACCTATCAACATCACTCTCTCTCTCTTACATTAATGGCACCCATTTTCTCTCTCCTTGCATTAAAGGATGGTGGCTTCCCCAAGCCGGTACCGCGCGCGCACGCTTGCGCGCCGCATCCCATCCTCGGACTGCGCGGAACACTCAATATTTTTCACCAAATTGCGCTTAGATTTTGACGTGCTTCCTAAAATCGCGCGAAAATTTCAACGCGCTTCACCAAATCGCGCGCTCTACTAAATTGCGCCCGGATTTTTACGCGCTTCACCATGTCGCGCACGAATTTCAACGCGCTCTTGAAAATCGCGCCTGAATTTTTACGCGCGCGAATTTCAACGCGCTCCTCCAAGTCGCGCCCGGATTTTACGCGCCTCACCAAATCGCGCGCGAATTTCAATACACTCCACCAAACCGCGCACGCTCTCTGACGCGCCTCACCAAAGCGCTCGTGCTCTCCAATAAATAAATTAAAATTATTATTTATCCACGTCACGCCAACAGTTAACGGAACACTACAACACCGATCTACTCTCGACACGATCCGGTACCCTTTTCGACTTGGCTCCCACATCGTCTCGAGAGTGGGGGGCTTGCGAGACAACTCCCGCGAGGAGCCAACTCGCTCGGAACTACTCCCACGAGGAGACAACTCGCTCGGTCATACAACTAGCAGCGAGACAACTCCCACGAGAAGACAACTCGCTCGGTACTACCAACCCGCAGCGAGACAACTCCCATGAGGAGCCAACTAGCTCGGTCCTACAACCCGTTGCGAGGCAACTCCCACGAGGAGCCTGTTAGAGTAGGTGACCAACAAGCCAACATGTGGCTGTGGTCTTTCGTATTTATTATTGTAATAAACGAACCTTTACTCGTATTAATGATAAAACACCTAGGCATTCTATATCTTTGTCCCTTTGTCACAAGCATAGATATAGTCCTTACAGTTATTACAAGTACTAGTAATTGATCGTTAGGATCGTGAGATATTTACTTAAGTATTATAACTGTTAAACGTGTTCCTAGTCGAAGGGTTACGCCACTAATGAGGATATCGGCCTTTTCCATTAAGACTAGCACTTAGTGTATGTGTACTGCATCTCATCAGTAAACGGTATTGTGATATCGGCATGCATAAGTGGGTGCTCGTAAGTTGACGAGTTCACTGAACTCCCTCACCCTAGATATCTCTAAGTGGTTCCCAATAATCGAGTAGAGATGTCTATGATATAGTTGTACACCATTAGTCCTTATGACCTAGACATCACCGTGACTTCACTAGAGGACCAGCTGTATCGTGACCTGTCCCTGAGTTCCACCGAGGACCATCCCAAGGGCCAGTGTTCGTGCAGTCCGAAATCTAGTGGCAGGTCTGTGCATTGTAGTCGGGGATTCGATCGCTAGAATAGTCTTGGATGTCCTGTGTGTTCTGAAAGTTTGTAATCATTCTAAGTCTCTGGCCAGAGCTGACTAAGTGATGATTAGAGAATTCGATTCTCTAAGTCATGCACGTAAGGATTACAATACTTGGAACGATCGCACCGTCATCGAACATATAAAGAGGTCTCGATGAACCAATGCCTCTAGTTCGATCGGGACATATGAATCGAAGGGACCGTACTGTACGTTAACTATATCTGAAGGTTCTTGCAGGCACTTCATTTGTATCTAGGGAATCATGACGCGTAGTTGCTAGACGCCAATCTTGATTCATTGGGTGATTAAGGTGAAACGAGCTTCATCTTAATCGTAACTCTAAGGGACGAGTTTTGACCACAAAGAGTTGTGGGCCCACGGCTAGCTTACACCTGAACCATCGAGGGTCACACTGCTCGTGCACATGAGATCTTTGAATAAACGGTCAGAGATAAAATGGTTTATCTTTGCATAATTGGAAGTCAATACGATTGAGTCCAACATTCGTAATTTGGAATTACGAATGAGAATAAGAAAAGGAAAAGAATAGGCGAAAGTTGTAGTGAACTTTCTAAATCGAGAAGTTTCCAAATTTAGAAAGTGCACTGAACTAGGGTTTCCACTTTTGGAAAGTTGGAAAATGAAAGATGGCACTCGTAATGACGAGAACATTATAATGAATCCGAATATGTAATTGTTACGATTTTCCGATCATTGAATTGAGAGAGACGAGCAAGTGAAGGAACTAACGAGCTTAAGCTGTTGGGCCCGGTCCAACTTAAGCCCGTTAGGGTTTTATGCAAGGGACTATAAATACATGATTTATAGGCCTTGCACAAAAAACACAACTCAACCCTAACCCTAGCCGCTACACTCTCTCTCTCTCGGCCATCTCTCCTCGGCCACCGCGCCGCCGTCGCCGGAGCTTCACCGGAATCGGCCATTCATTGGCCGATTGTTTCGGTATTGTTTTTCCTTCTCTTTTTCTTCCGTTTTTCTAACTATTACGTGTCTAGTGCCACGTGTTTAGTAGATCGAAGTATACGAGGTGAAATCCGAGAGGAGGAAGACCAAAGATCGAAGAATCGAGGAGCAGCGCACGAGCCGAAGCCGCACGCTGCCCCACGCGCCGCCCCGGAAGAGCGCGCGTGAAATTCACGCGCCGCCGTGAGCCGTCTCGCCGCCGCTGCCGCTGCACCGCTGCTGCCCCGATTGTACGGATTGGTTTCCGTAGCAATCTCGACTTGCCAAGCGCTCCTACCTCACGCTTCAAGAGGTAAACACACGAATCCCTTGTTTCGATTCGTTTATGTTTAAACTATATTTTCATGTTTGCTTTCGTATGATTTTATGTGATTATGTGTAATCATTTTAATCGTTGCAAGCATGTTATTTGGTTTAAACGCGAGCATGTTAATTGATTTAAATTTGGTTAAATTATTTAGCATGTATGTTGTTTTAATTTCGCTGGAAGCGCAAAGGTACGCAATTAATTGATTTTAATTTGTCGGGCATGTGCTTGTGTGCTTTAAAGTCGTTTAAATCACATTAAATTTTTGTTTTCCGCTGCGTACTAGTGCCCGAAACCCAACAGTGGTATCAGAGCTCGTTGCGCAATTAATTGCGTTCGTTTTAATATGCTATGATTTTATGCATGTTCGATTTATTAAAGTA